AAAGATCAGCAGTCATTTGACAAAGCAACAGCAAAAATAGACAGGATTCAAGGAAATAAAAGGCATCTATATTATGCCAAAATGTACCAAAGTTCTGGTATCTATATTGAAAGGTATCTATATTGAGTTGTTGTGCAAATCAAATTAGGTAATATTTGTAAAAGTGCTTAGCACAGTAACTGGAACATGATAGAGAAAATATGAAAAAAGTAAAAAAGTAGCAGATATCAAACTCTACTACAAAGCAAGAATCACCAAAATTATTAAATATTGGTTGAAAAAGAGAGATCAATCAGTGGGACAGATTAGGTATAAACATCCAGAAACAAACAAACCTGGCAGTCTAGTGTTTTATAATCCCTAAGTCCTCATTTACTGAAATAACTACTAAGGATTAAATTTTTAAAAAATAAACACGAAAGCAGTTTGGGAGAAGTTAGGTTTAGACAAATACCTCATACATTCACTAATATTAACTACAAATGCTTACATAACTTATATATAAAAAAGTCATATCATAAACAAATTAGAAGAACAAGGAAGAAATTTCCTTCCAGATCTGTGCATAGTGGAAGATTTTGTGAAGAGCAAAAGATAAAGAGTATCAGGGAGGATGAAATGGACAATTTTGATTGTATGAAATTAAAATTTTTTCACAGAAAAGCTATACAACTAAAATTAGAAGTGAAAGTTAATGAGGAAAAAAAACTTTGCAGCAAATTTCTCTGATAAAGATCTAATTTCCAATATAAATAAACAATTGTTTGAAATTTTGAAGAAGAGAAGCCATTCCCTAGTTGATGAATCATCAAAGACATGAGATCCTCAAAGGAAAATATCCAAGCTGTTGTTAAACAGCCATATAAAAAAAGCAACTCCAAAACATTAATAATTAAAGAAATGCATATTAAAGAAACTATGAAGTACTTCTTCACATCCAAAAAATAATTATAATTAGTGGACAGGCCATCAGAGAAACTAAGAGGTGGAGGTGAGGGATTAGATCATTTCCAGGCATGGGGGACAGCTAATGAAAAAATGTGCATGTAGGAGATACAGTATTAAGAATTTAAGGAATTGCAAGATGGCCTAGTGCTACTGGAGTATAGAATATATGAACAAGAGTGCAAGGTAAGATGATTGGGAAGGTAGGAAGGGGTCAGGTTGTATAAAACTTTAAATAGCAAACAATGGAGTTTATATCTGATCCTGACAGTGAGCTATTAGAACTCATGGGAGATGTGACAGTGGAATAAAACCATCAAACATGTACTTTAAGACATTTTCAGTTGAGTAGAGTATAGATTGGAATAGGGAGAGACTGGAGTCAAGGAGACCAATCAGAAGGCTGTTTCAGTTAGGTTAGAGATAATGAAGACCTGAACTAGAGTTCACTTGTATGACTGGAGAGAATAGGTTATATACAAGAGATGTAAATGTAGCCGCAACAAGATTTGGCAAAAGATTGAATATGTGTAGTGAGTGAAAGAGTCAAGGATGATGGTGAGGTTGTGAGCCTCAGTGACTGGAATGCTGGTGGTGCCCTTAACAGTATTAGGGAAGTTCACGGAGGGTTTGAGGGGGAGCAGGAGTTCTGATTTAGATATGTTGAGTTTGAAATACCTGTGAAACACCCAGTTAGAGATGTTAAAAAGACAATTGATGTAAGAATAGATCTCAGGAAAGAGGTAATTCTGGGTATCATCTGCATAAAGATGGTAAATGAATCCATAGTTGTTGATGCAATCAACAAATAAAATAGTATAGAAAGAGTAGAGAAAATGGTCTACAACACAGCCTCTGGGAACACCAAGTTAATGGGGATGACACAGATGAAGAAACAATAAAGGATACTTAGAAAGAGCAGTCAGGAAGATAGCCAGAAGAGAACAGTGTCACAAAAACTTATTGAGAGAACATCTAGAAGGAAAAGGTGTCCATGTTATCTGCTGCAGAAAGACCAAGAATCATCAGGATTGAAAAAAAAAGCCATTAGTTCAAAGATTACTGGTAACTTTCTAAAGGGGGCAGTTTTGGTTCGTGATCATAGGAACAGGTTTGAAAGACAATTTACAGAGGATTTAGAAGAGAATTAGAGGAGAGGAAGTGAAAGTACCTAGTGTAGATAACTTTCTCAAGGAGTTAAGGGAGAAGAAAGATACAGAATAATAACTAGCAGGGATGGTAGGATCAAATGAGGGTTGTTTTTTTTAAGGATTACAAAGACATGGACAGGTTTGTAGACAACAGGGAAACAGGAAACAGGGAGAGATTGAAGATTAATGAAAGTAGGGTTGAGAGTGGAGTCAATTTACTATTACTAATTTTACTATGTTTACAACCCTGGAGGGATAGGATCAAGGATGCTAGTAGAAACATTTGATTTGGCTAGGAAAAGTGCCACCTCATCCAAGATCAGAATGAAGGGTATAGTATGGTAAGTTCTATGAATGATCTGAAATGAGGAAGGGAGACGGGAGAATTGTCAACAAATGGCCTTTGGTATTTATGAAACAAGGTCCTCAGCTAAAAAAATAGAGGGAGGTTATGCCATGAAAGTCTTGTAGAAAGACAAAGTTTAGAACAGCCAGTATGGGGAATGGTATAGTGGGAATAGACTGCTTGCTGTAGTAAGGGTATTGTTGAGATTAAATAACATAAATTTATAGTGACCCAATTAGTAGAATTTCATGATTTTCTCCAGTTCCATTCAGCAGCATATGAATGCAGAGGTCAATCAAGGGAGTAATCCAAGGTCACGGCTTTGTAAGGCTATCATCAACTATAGGATAAGAGTGCAAGGGACTTGAGAATAAAGAGTAGCTTAGTGTTGAATTACTCATGGAGAGGTTGACATAGGGAAAGAAGAGTTTAGCCAATGCAGGTACAATGGCCTGGCAAAGAACCGAGTGATGCAGATAATGAAGGTCACAGTGAGGACATAGAACAAAGCAGTCATAAAATATAGGGAAAAGATGGAGGGACAAAAGGTTATGATCATAAGGGAATTTCAAAGTTTAATAACAACAGATAACATTTATATAGTGTCTACTATGTGCCAGGCATTGTGCTAAGCACTTTACAATTATTATCTCATTTGATCCTTACAACAACACTGGGAGGTAGGTGCTATTATTATCTCCATTTTATAGTTTAGGAAACTAAGGCAAACAGAGATTAAGCGAGCTGCCCAGTGTCACACAACTAGTAAGTTTCTGAGGCTGGATTTGAACTCAGGCCTTTCTGACTGCAGTCCCAGTGATCTATCCACTGTGCCACCTAGCTGCTCCTATTTTGTGAACAAGCAAGTGGAATACTTGTGGGTAATGGCCAGATCAAAGGTAAGACCATCTTTGTGTGGAGCTAAGATAGAGTGGAGAAATAGGTCATGGGAATTGAGTAGGTAGGAATTTAAGGTATTTGACAGAGTGTCAACATGTATTTTGAAGTATCCTAATATGAAGTCAGGAGATGGGAAAGAGAGAAAAACTGTTTAGCTAAGCACTAAATTCTTTGAGGAATGAAGGAGAATGCTCTGAAGGTTGGTGTGTTAAAACCACCAAGATTTTGATTGGGTGATAAACACGAGGAGAGGCTGTTTAGTGAAGGTGATAGAGAGAGATTCTAACAATGGCAGTGAAGAGCAAGGAGTATTTCAATTGCCCCCACTCTAATCTTGTAGTTGGAGGTGTGAGTGGGAGGGAGGAGGGGAGTGTAATATGAGAGAAAAAGTAAGAAATACTGGTGTGGTGGCAAGGGAAGTGGTATCATCAGGAGGTAGCCAGGTCTCCAGTGAGCTGATTATAGAAGGAATGAAAAAGGAAGAGATTTAAGATGAAAAGAAGTATATTCATTGTGGAATAAGCGCAGTGGGGGAGGAGGAGGGGAGTAGCAGATATGGAATGGGATCTTATGGGGATCGGGTAGAAGAGGATAGGCACAAGGGAGCAGTAAGTTGAAGGTAAGCAACAGGGTTTGTGCATCATCAGCCTAGGATTCAGAATCTTTGGAATGGAGCAAGTATAAGTTTATGAGAGTTTGCTATCCATCGAGCAATGAATAGAGTAAGGGTGTATTGGCCAGTGTTTAAATAGACCTGCCAAGCCTTCAAAACTATCATAGCAATCTCAGGGCAAGCATTTCCTGCTGTACCTCATTCTAGTTAGCATTCTCTTACTTTTCCCTCGATCCTCACCCTGCCTCCCTCCCTGGACTATGGATGATGGATTGTCCTTTAGCAGAGTTGTTTTATTGTGATTATTATTCAACTAATTGGTCACTAGAGTTATCATTGACCATACAGATAGTCCTCACACTGGTTAGTGTTGTCTGTCCCTGAATGTTGAGTCAATACCAAGTTAAAATGTCTAGTAAATGTTTAGACTTTGGAGGTGGGTAGTGTGTTTCATTGGGGGCGTACTAAGGACTAAAAATCCGCTCCTTAAACTTAGAATGCTATCATGTTGGTCAGAACAGTTACCTGTCCATCCTCAGCTTTTTCTAAATCAAGAGATTAACTAATAATCAGTAGGATAACTTGAGTTGAGCATCCTGCCATGTGGCAATATATGTCTGTAAGAGGACTGGAATTAATCTTAAACCCAGGTCACTCCAGTTTTGCTCAAGTAGCCAATTCGTCATGGCATGTGGCCCTTGAGCAACTGCTCAAATCTTAGCATATCTTTCAAGCCTTTGGGAAGCATGGTGCACAGGCCCTTTGTTCCTGCTTTATATAAACCTAGAATACAAGTATGTATCTAAAGAGTACAACCACATAAAATAGGAATTAAAGGAAACAGAATTTATAATTCAGAAGGCAGTCTAAAGGTTTAAGGATTGAGGATAGAATTTCCAAGGGATTTGCAAACATATTTGGCATAGTCCTTTCTTTGCAGTTGGCTCATTTGTTTAGCTAAATAGGAGACAGTCAGTTGGGTCACAAGTAGGGATGTTTAATGCCCAAGAAATGCTATTTAAACTGAAAAACTTTCCCCCGACAGAGTCAGAATGGATGGAAATATGGTATCTCTCTGGATGAAAATGTGAAGACACATCCATTAATAAGACCTTTTAAAACATTAACTGATAAGGTAAGAAACAGTGGAAGAGAAAAATATCTCACTCTGTACACAATGTTTTTTCCATCCTAGAGAAGTTTCCTCAATCGGCCATAGGAGAGCCAACAGAGGATTCACACAAAATTTAGAGATTTTTTAATGATAAAATAAATTCTTGTTTCCTCTCTGTGAGCAACTTCTCCTTCTCTGCCCCACACCCAGGATTTAATTCCCAGAATGCAATCTCATATTTTACTGTCTAGCTTCTTAAAATCCGTAAAAAGAGGTGTTATTTAACATATAGGGACCAGAAAAAAGTTTATTCTCTTTTGCAAAAACCTTTGCAAATAAACTATGAGCGATTCTAATTAGGGGAAAGGAAGTAAGCCCCGAGGGAAATTAGGAAGCTGCCTAATCCTTCTCAAGTAAAAATTATTTCTGAGAACACAACAGACAAGGAGAGGGAAAACAAGGAAAGTTTCCAAGTGGTATGAAAAAGGATGATGTTTCTAAGCATGTTTATATAAGAACTGTGTGGATAAATATGTTATATAATTCCTTTCTGACTCTGATTCTGTGCCATTTTCTCAATAAGCATTCTTGTTCCATTCAGAGGATGCGTAGCCCTACCTTCATGCTTAGTGTATTGCATGTTTTCTAATTTTAAGCCAAGTCCCATGGAGGTCTAGAACTAATTTTGAGGTCAAGAAAATATAACTACCTAAATTAGAACTTTTCTTACCAAGGCATTTTCATATTTCCTCCACTTCTATTAAATTAAATTAAATTAAATTAAATTAAATTAAAACACCAATCATTATTTTCTTACTTTTGTCCTTGCTTATACCCTTCTCCTTCCTCACAAAACTCCAAATGCTTTTTAATGGCATGACACATTTAAACTGAAGGCAACAGACCTTTTTGAGGGTCTTGAATTTAATTTTTTTTTTATCCAGTGACTTTGCTTTAGCCCCTGAAATAGCTAGCTCATTCACTAATAATTCATAACATAATTTAAATTAATAGGCACCACACTGCATCCCTTTGGAATTGAAAGGTTTATCAAAATATCTATTCTTTGCAAATCAATTTTACTTGAATTTGTTTCTAGGAGAAGGAAATTTATCGCTGGCCTGCCAGAGAGTCTCTGAAAACCATGCTAGCTGTGGGCTGGACAATAGACAGGACCAGAGAAAGTGAAGCAATCATACAACAGCGGGAAAATGAGAAGCTTCGCAGCATTTCCCAAGCCAGCCAAGTAAGACGGGACTGTTTAGAGCCAGACTCTTTAAACCTATGGGGAAATAAGTACTCTGGAATACTGTCCATGGAATTTTATTGCATGAGATTTTCATTAGGAGTAGCACTAGGTGGATGAGTCTGGTTATCCCACAAGTAAACAAAAATCTTTGTTATGCAATCTTTATGTCAGAAAGTATCTTATGACACAACAGGCCCAGGTACAATTTGGGAAATGCCCTTAACTTTCTTGCCTCATAAGGAAATCTGAGAAAACATGCATCATAATCCTTGGTATTCCAAGAAAGATTCCTTGCTTATTGGTAATATTCATAATATTAGTTCATAATATTATAAAATGGAGTTGTTTTTTTAAAGGGGTAAACAAAATAAGACTTAGAAAATTAACTATTAGTATCAAAGTACATGTAAATCTCCAGGGTTGCTTGCATTCCTGAGGACTGTTAATACCATCTCCCCTCTCCATCTTGGAAGGAGCAGAGTTAACCTCTCCCTCTGCCTTTACCTCTTACTCCTACTCTTACTCTCCCTCTCTTTTACTTTTCCTCCTTCTCTTTCCCTTCCATCTTTTGTCTGTCCTACAACTTTTCATGATTCTTACAGTCCAACCACTGGATTTCTCAGTTTCTTAGGACATCCAGGGCAGTTCCATATAAAGTCCTCAAGTCTGGTTCAAGATGAAATCCAATACTCCTTGGTCATTCTTACCACCTTCTTTTCCTTCGTTTGTCTCCTTGCTACCAGCCCGCCTCAGTTTTTGTATCTCCTTTAAGGCATACATTCTTCATTTCTCCCGGTTACTCAAAATAGGAAACAGAAGAGACTTGCTGCTGTGCTGGCTAAAAATAGCAGAAGCCAGGAATAATAATAAAAATGAGGGAGATATGTCAGATCAAGTAATTTTATTTTGCTTTTTCTAGGGCAACAGCTACAATCCTTCTCCACTTGACCTTTCAAATGTTGTGCTTTCTAGGGAAGTCCAGGTCAGTACTAATGTTTTTGCTGTCCATATTCTTCAGAACAGTGTAATTTACCTTTGACAGTGTATCTTAGAATTAAGATTTTATTATATTATAGACATATATTATATATAGAAAATATTAGCATTAGAAAGGACCTTTAAGATCATCCAATCCAGCTCCCTCATTTTATAGGTGATAAAACTAAGGCCCAGAAAGGTAAAATGATTTGTCCAATATTATAAAGATGGTCAGTGATAGAGTCAGAACTAGAACTCAGACTTCCTGATATCCATTCTAGTGCACTTTCTGTTACACATATTATAAGATACATTATGAAGGTTTCTTACCCCTGAGGACTGAATATAAGAATAGATGTTGCCACAAAAGAAAAGGTCTGTCGATGTTTGTATTTTATTGATATTTACCTTATTAGAAATCTAAACTGATAAATGTTTAAAATATTTATTAACTTTAAAATAATTTTAAAAACCCTTCACATTTTATATAAATAACGCAATGAAAAATTAAATTTTAAAAATCAAAAAATTAGTGAGAAAAGTGGTATTGTTTTACATATTTTTGCAAATCTCTTTAATGTCTGGTTTAATTGAAAACAGCTGTATTCTGATATGTTTCTAGATTCAGTCTATTGTGATATGCTGTTTTGGTTGAGATATATGAAGAAAACCTATGCTTATACAGATATGTAGTTGGAAAAGGGAAGAGTACTTTAATAGGCAAATAATGTCTTAGTATTATTATGAAAAGAGTTTTGACCTCATAGACCTCCTGAAAAAGTCTCAGGGACCCTAGGGCTCTACAGACTTTGAGAACTGCTGGCCTAAAATGCCAAAACTAGAGTATTAGGAATGTATCACATTGAGTAGAGACATGGGAAAAGTATTTTCAGATAGTTCCAGGCTTAGAGTTTCTCTTGAAATTTTTAATACCGTGTGACAATTCAGTACAGCAAGGGCTGTGGGTTCAGTTGAGCCTAATGCAGCATGGTAAAGAGAAAGTAATGAACAGAAAAGTATAGTACTAAAGTGAAAAACAAAAACAAATAGCAATTAATCCATGAAGTTCTACTGTTTGGCTATTATCTATTCAATTATCTATGTATGTGAACTTCATTCACTTGCTATTGCTTCAATAACAAGTGCACCCAAAGCCCACCTCTCTAGACTCATTGAATCATTGCTCTAGCTCTCAGATGACATCTAATCCAACCCCCTCATTTTACAGATGAGGAAAGTGAGGCACATAATGATTTCCCCCTAAGTTATACAGATAATTATGAATACTTTGTCCTCTGAGTCCAAATCGAGCATACTTTCCACTGTACCATCCTTCCTTCGCTTTTGTAAAACCCATTGTGTACTGATTAGGCCTTCACTATGGCACCTCACAAATGCCTGTTTCATATCAGCATAAAGGACACAGAGAGAGGAATGTAAAATGCAGTGGGAGAGAATGAAACAGCCTGGATCTTTGAAATATCTCTGCTAACTCCTATTTCTCCACCCCACTTCTATTTCAACCTCTGCCTTTTATTCCCTTGACATTTGCAGGCTGTGGCAACAAAGCCAGTGATACTCTATTTCAAATCTGTTCATTTGTTTTTAGATTAGAGATCTGTACGTGACTCAATATCCACTTTCCCTTTATAATGATATGGTCCTTATGTGAATGAATTTTATTTGTAAAGTTTTATTTATGCCAGTCTCTCACCAATATAGCTGTCATTAGTTTCCTTACCTTGATAACTAGAGAGCCATAGTTTGTTTTCCTAACTACTGGACCAATGTAAATTCGTGTTCTTTCTACCCTCATAAGCAGCGAAACCAGAAAATACAAGTGACTAAATTCCTCATTCCTCATTCCCAGTCCGATTACCATATGAACAGGAATAGACATGATGACCTTTTCAAGGATTTCCCCAGCCCTAAGATTCTGAAATTCTATTCTAAAATGACATACTGCTGATTTGCAACTTCAAATTGAAATGTTTATTTTTTTTTCATGTATCCCCCTAAGAGATTAATAAGTTAAAAAACAGAAAAACAGGATTAGATTTTTTGGTGATGTTGTATAACTAATGAGGTGCATAAGCGTAGACTAAAGTAATGATAGGAAACACTGAGCAATAAACCAAAAGCTTTTAGTAACGTTCCTTTCCTAATCCATCCAAAAATAGCCTGTCATTGATGAGCTCATTTTTCTTTCTGCCACCAACCTATTCACATTGTCAATGGCTTTCTCTTTACAGGGGATGGTAGAGGTTGTGGCTGAGAACTATCACAATATCTGGGCCAAAAAGAAAAAGATGGAACTGGAAAACAAAGGTATGGCTAGTTTACAGAGTATGCAGAGGAAATAACACTGGGCATCAGGTATGTTACTTCCTGTAAATGAAAGGGAAGATACAAAGTGCATTATAGTTCTCTTAATTTATCATAGGTGGAGGCAGTCACCCTCTCTTAGTGCCATATGATACTTTGACAGCCAAGGAGAAGTTCAGGGACAGAGAGAAAGCTCAGGAGCTATTTAAATTCCTCCAGGTGAATGGTATTGTTGTATCTAGGTAAGTAATTTTTCCCAGATATTCCCTCTGTTACTATTTCTTGTCCTCAGTTACCTTGGTTTGTCACCCCCTCCTGATCTCTGCCTAATATTGATAGGAGAAAGAACAACAGTTAAGTCTTTTGGAATTGAAAAATATCTATTTTGAAAAAAATGAGTTAATTAATAGGTTTAACTTGAGATAGGAAATGGAACCCATGAGAAAGAATCACACAATCTCAGAATTAGAAGGACTCAGAAGATGTATAGTCCAACTGACATCTGAAAAAAAAATCCACTATTGTGTTCATCCAGCCTTTGTTTGAAAATCTTCAGTAAGGAAGAACCTATCATCTTCAAATCATCCAGTTACATTTTTAGATAGCTCTCACAATTAGGAAGTTTTGTTTTTCTTATACCATTTCTAATCACATCATCGCAACTTCTACCCATTGTTCCCTATGGCCCCTGTGGTCAAACAGCATCTAACTCCTTTTCTAGGTGAATAGGGCCTTCAAGATCCCTATTATGCACCCCCTCCAACAATACTGGCCTTCTACAAGCTAAGTATTTCCATTTTCTTCAGATGATATTGCAAAGTACTTTATCTCACCTCATCTTCACAACAACACTGTTAGTTAAGTAAGTCAGTGCTATTATTATCCCCATTTTACAAATTAGGAAGCTAAAGCTAAGAGAAATTAAATGATGTGCTCAGTGTCACAAAGCTAATAAAGGTCTAAGGCAGTATTCAAACCCAGATTTTCTTGACTCCAAATCCAGTGCTCCATCCACAGATCCCAGATTTGTTAGCCATATCTGTGTGACTTGGAAAATGAGGCAGTTAGATTAGATGACCTGTCTTACCCTTTCTACCTCTAAATCTATGATCCTATAATCTCAAAACCCTTCATCATCCTGGATGTTCTCCAGCTTATCAGTGTCCTTTGTAAAACGTGATGCCCAGAACTGAGTACAATATTCCAGATGTGTTCAGACCAAAGCCAAGCACAGTGGAACTATTCTTTCTTAATCTTGGACTCCTAATGTAACCTAAAATCGTTTTATCATTTTTGTCTGCCATATCACGATGTTACCACATACTGAGCTAACAGCATACCGCAAACCCCCTTGATCTCTTTCAGAAAAACTGCTCTCTATGACATACCTCACATCTAATATCTCTTTTTCATATGAAGTTGATTTATGAACCCATTATAAGATATGTTCTTAACTCATAATATCTATGTCAGATTTCATCTTTTTTAGGTTAAGCCCAATATTGTAGCTTCTCAAGATTGTTTTTGGATCCTGATTCTGTCATCTGTGGTGTTAGCTTTCCTTCTCAGTTTTGTGCCATTTACAAACTTAAGCATTCATAGTAAGCCTTTATACAGCTACTGATTAAATAACACAGGGACAAGCACAGATCTCTGGAGCATTCCATCTAACCTACTTCTGTCATCTCCACAAGAACAGTGTAAGAGATATTGTCAAATGCTTCCCTAAAATATAGGGAAACTAAGAGATGCTGCGATATCTAAAAAAAGATCTAAAGAAATCATGAGGAAAGTGGTATCACCTTTTCTGGAGCCTTTTGTAGGAAACTTACTTTCTAAGCCTGAGGAAAATATTGGTCACTTTATTGTGTATAACAGAAGCTGGCTTTATTTAGCTCAAGGAGATATTGACTGACCTGGTCTCTGTGAGACTTTTTGCCATTTGTAATTAGCTATCCATTGATGAAATTTCATTCTTATACATAAGTTTATGAGAGAAAAATTGATCTGTTAAAGATATAAGGAATAATTCCCATTCACATGCTTCCCTGTTTTCTATCCCTATCTTGAACTGTTTCCTTACCCCAAGGATTTTGAGAAAGCATTCAATTACCCCTGAAATGCTAGTTTCAGGTTTTCAGCTAGAGACCACTCTACATATAAAAACTAATAAGAAAAATAATTCTTAAACTCTTAAAATTTTTCATGATATTTCTCTATCTTAGGCTCTAGCTGTCCTTATGCCTACATTTTACATATAATTTCCAGAGTTTTTAATTTGCTTTTGTATGTACATGCTTCTTAAGAAGCAGTATGATTCATTGAAAAGTGTGATGGCCTTGGAGTAGAGAAATCTGGGTTCAAATACTGCTTCTGACAATCTTTTGCTGTGTGACCATAGACAAATCACTTGAAGTCTCTTATCCTCAGTTTCCTCATGTATAAAATGGGGATGATAATTGTAATACCTATCCCATAGGCTTGTTGTAAGAATAACATTATAATTTATGCAAAGCACTTGTAAACCTTAAAAGCATCATATAAACAACAGGTGTTATTGTTGAAAATTTGGGTTTTTAACTGTGCAGTGTGATCCTTTGGGGTGTGCCATATAGGCCATGTTCGCTATTCTTCTTATGTAACAAAAACCTGATCTTTTGTTTCAGTATTTGTATATCTACTCCCCTAAAGAAATTTATTTCCTGTGCTCTATGGTGCTATATGCTTTTAATTTCTTGCAATTTCCCCCTGCTATAGATGTAACCACGAGTCCTTTTCAAGAAGATTGGGTCTTAGAACTCGTTTATTTTAAAATCCAGAAAAATGTTGTCGTTCTGTCTTATAAATAAAATAGCAAATCATATTTGCTACTTCATTGTCAAGAAATCAGATAGGAGAAGAGATCTATCAGAAAAACTTTGAATTCAGAATCTCTTTGTAATTTAAAGCTTATTCTTTATACTAGAATGGATGAATGCTATGATTTGCAGCTTGTTGTCTTTTATATCACTGTCACCATTCACTGGCTCCCTCTCTCCACTCCCCTTTTGCCAAAAGAACCCTCCTTTATAACAAATAAAAATAGTCAAGCAAAGCAAGCTGTGATTTGTTGTTAAATAATTTGGTGAAGCATAAATTAAAGAAAAAATTATCTCTGTCAGCATTATAAGGAAAAAAAGCAACAAAAAGAAAGAAAGACCAAGAGGAAGGAAGGGATAGTTATTATTTAACATTGATTAAGTGTAATGATATAGAAGAATAGACCCAAAATAGAAAATGTAAGGAAAAATGTGGGAGAATGCAAAAGAACAGAAGGCTTTAGTATCCCATAACCCACCCTAGTAGCACACAAGGATAAGAAAATAGTATGAAAGGCTCTTTTCGGAAAACACAAGCAGTAAACAAAGGAGAAATGTTAAGCCTTTCTTCCTATAGAAGGGTAAACAGACCTCAGAATTTGAAAGCATCTACAATTCTATTCTAGGCCATCTGTTTGGGGGAGAATTTGCATTTGCCTACATTTCTGGTGATTCAATTAGACAGTTCAGCAAGTGCACCTACTATTTTCCAGCCGCTGGGGCACCATGAAAAAAGGAGGTAGTCTCTGCTCTCAAGGACCTTACATTTTATACGAGGTTATATAAATTGTCATAATATTACCAGATATATGAATAGCTCTCCATTGCTTTGGCTATATGAATCTCATGGTAGAATGGTGAATTACTCATAGGATAAAGCCATTTTAATCCAAAGCCTCATAAGAAAATTTGTTTCAAGTTTAGAGAAATGATGGTTTGACATTTTATAACAGTGGGATTGACAGAAATGTCATTTAGATTTATGATGGTATTTCTTTTGCTCTGTTTTCAGAATAGATTTTTTAACCATTCTGGAAAACAATTAGAATTTTGCAAATAATCTGGCTGAAATGACCATAACCTTTGACCCAGTGATCTCACTACTAGATATATAACCCAAAGAACTCATTAATAACAAAACAGGCTCCATCTACACAAAAATATTTATAACTGCAATTTTGGTTTCAGCAAAGAAATGGAAAAAAGGAGATAACACAGATTGGGGAATTCTAAACAGATTATGGTTTATGAATTTAATGGAATATTACAAAGAAGTATGGAAAGAGATAGATGAACTGAATCAAGATGATGTAAACGGAACCAGGAAAACATATATTCAATAACTACATCATTGTAAAATAGAAAGAAGAACAACCACAAAATAATATACCTCCTCTTCACCCTTGCATGGGTGAGAAAGTCCTTGGTCATGGAACATTGCATGTAATATCAGATTTTTTTCAATTTAGTAATTGGTTTTGCTGATTTTTCCTTCATTTTCTTTTTTCTTTTTAATTCTTTGTAATTAAGAAGTGCTTTTTTGAAAGGAGGGAGATTATAGAATACAGTGAGAAATTTAAGTAATGTAAAAGGAAATGATACCAATAAAAATTTGTTAAAATAAGAATAGATTATTCAAGGGTAGGCATGTAGTTTTCTATAGATTAAAAAGAATTAAATGTAGTGGTTTTGTTTCTCTTTCCTATTGGTGAAGAAAGATGATCTCTGAAGTTTCTTCTACTTCTGCATTTTTAACAATCTGGCTCCAGCCAACCTATCCAAAAGCAACAGTCTCCATATCTTTGCACAGGCTGCCCTCTATGCCTGTAACATATTCCCTCCTCACAGCTCCCCTGTAGGAGTCCTAGCCTTCTTCAAATCTCAGGTCAAATGCTACATCCTCTGTGAAGCCTTTCATCTCCCCTGATGTTAGTGCCTTCCTTTCAGATATTATTTCATATTTGTGTGTGTATACATATAGGTATGTGTTGTGTATATGTATATATAAATACACAAGTGTATGTATATATGTATATGCATATTATGTGTGTATATATACATGCATATTTATATGTGTACTATTTATATGTGTACATGTTTCCCCAATAGAATATAATCTCATTGAAGGTAGAAACTGATTTTGTCTTTGTATCCTATCCCTATTTTCTAGGCCAGTGATGGGTATGTAATAGGTACTTATTACTGACTGACTTGTTGATTGAAGTGATGAGTCATTATTAAGTTAATATTGCCAAAGAATCATCTTCATTTAAAGAAATAATTTTGACAAAACAATATTGATATTTACTTGTGTCATAATATCTCTCGTATTTCCTGATGATTTTACCCTATTTCCCAACTAGGGATCTGAAGGATATGGAATTGGATGCTTCTTCAGTGGAACAGAGGTTTGCCTATAAATTTTTGAAGAAGATTCTAAAATATGTTGACTCTGCTCAAGAGTTTATTGCCCATTTGGGTAAGTTTCATCCTGAAACATTGACAAAGTTGCTGCTATTTCTTTTTGTACTGTTTAAATAATGGTCATTTTGTGTTACCATTGTCCATAGTTATTTTGACATTTGACAATTTGTTGTAGGGAAAATCTTGTTTTGTATTGTTTTTTTTCCATACTAGAAGGATACTTTAGACATTGATTCCACTGCTAGGTCTAACTCATTTGTTACTACTAATTCTAAATTTAACTCTTATATTTGTTGCTCACTGACCAAGCAGGGATAACTAAACCTCTCTGTGTCTACTATCTTGCTTGACGAAGGGATATAACAGCAATGACAATTCAGAGTCCTGAGATCACAATTATAATTCTGTTAGCTATGCAATATCACACTGCTAATTCTTGCTGAGCTTGAATGACACTAAGACTTTCAGATGTTTTTAATAGAAACTATTATAGATACATAGTGTTTAATAAATATACTTGCAGAACAAAATATTTTGTGGACCACAAATCATCTCAGAAAAGGCTTTCAAACAAGTTGGTTTCTCTTTAATGCTACACCTGTGTCTTATGCTGCCTGATAGTTGTGTTAATTGTGTCTTTGTAGAAGCCATCGTCAGCAGTGGGAAAACAGAAAAGTCTCCCCATGACCAAGAGATTAAATTCTTTGCCAAAGTAAGTGATACCCTGTGTCTATAAAATTAATAAAAATTTTTCTCTATTTCTAAGTGAGCTTAATAGATATCACTGGATCAGAGCTGGATTAGAGGTCACCTGGTCTAACCCCCTCATTTTACGATGAAAAAACAGGCCTCAAGGGGTTGTGACCCTCATAAAATAGGTGAATTTCAACCAGGGCCTCTGGTTGTAAATAATTTCTAACTCTTTCCACTCCACCACCAATTATTAACACTTTAATGGCATTGGGGATAATCTAGCCCTTAAGAATTGCCAGCTAAATTAGTAAATGATGGTATCTTTACAAAACCATATGTGCCATTTCTCTTCCTGCTATCTGCCTCCCCCAAAGAGATAACTAGAAGTATAACTAACCTTTGAAAAGTAAATTATTTCCTCTTCGATATGTATAAGACCCCATCCTGTAGCCATTTCTGTTCATATATATATATATCCTAGTCATGCTGAGTGTCCTCATTCCCTTTGTTGGCAAGGTTCCTATACCACCACCACAAAAGCAACAACAGCTAGACCAACAGATTAGAGGAACACCTATAAACATAGTACACTTGATATCCTTGTGGATAGCATGGAGAGATCTGGGCAAAATGGTACTGTAGGAGGCAGACTTAGAAATGGTTGAATGGTTGGACCTTGAAAGTCATGGTCCAGGGTTAACTCTTCCAGTAGCAGGGGGCAATGGAGTTTAACTCTCCGTGGTGAATATTTTTATAACTTACTAGGATAAATATGCAGATGGCATACTTATCAAATTTACAGATGGTAAAAAAAAAAAACCTAGAAAAGGTCACAAATGGAAGAATCTGGTGCTTTAAAGATCTCAACAGGCTGGATCTGTGGGCCAAATATAAGATGAAATTTAGTTAGAACAAATGCAGATTCCAACATCTAGATTTGAAAGATAAACTGTGTAAGCACAAAAAGGGGGAGAAATGCTTAGACAACAGCTTATTTATTTAAAAGATCTAGAAAATGTGAAGGTAGGCCACCTAGCAGTTCCAGATTTCAAACTATATTACATAGTGGTAATCATCAAAACAATCTGGTACTGGCTAAGAAATAGAGTGGTGGTTCAGTGGTATAGATTAGGGTATACTATACTGAGTAGTAAATGACCCTAGTAACTTAGTGTTTGAAAAATGCAAAGATCTAAACTTTTGGGATAAAAACTCACTTTTTGACAAAAATTATTTGGGAAAACTGGAAAGTAGTTTGACAGAAACTAGGTATAAACCAATATCTCACACCATATATCAAAATAAAGTCAACGATGATTTAGAATTAAAACATGATTTAGATATAAAGGGTGATATGATAAACAAATTAGGGGAGCATGGAATATTTTACCTGTTAGATCTATGGATAAGGGAAGAATTTATGACCAAACGAAATAGAGAGCATCCTGGAATGTAAAAGGGATAATTTTGATTACATTAAATTAAAAGGGTTTGCATAAACAAAATCAGTTCAGCCAAAATTAGAAGGAAAGTAGGAAACTAGAAAAAAATTTTAAAGTAAGAGTCTCAGATAAATGCCTCATTTCTCAAGTAAATAGGGAACTGAGTTAAATTTATCAGAATATGAGTCATTCCTCAATTGGTAAATGGTCAAAGGATATGAACAGGCAGTTTTCAGATTAAATCAAAGCTATCTATAGTCATATAAAAATGTTCTAAATTACTATTTTTTTTTTGTTGTTTAGTCATTTCAGTCATGTCTGACTCTTCATGACCCTTTTTAGTGATTTCTTGGTAATGGTGCTAGAACAGTTTTTCATTTCCTTCTCAAGCTCATTTTACAAATGAGAAAACTGAGGCAAACAGAGTTTAAGTGACTTGCCCCAGGGTCAAGCAGCTAGCCAGTGTCTAAGGCAAATTTGAACTCAGATCTTCCTGACTTAAGGCCTGGCACTCTATCCACTGTACCACATAGTGGCTCACTATTGATTAGAGAAATGCAAATTAAAATAACTTTGAGATACCACCTCACACCTGTCATATTGGCTAATATGACAGACAAGGAAAATGAAAAATGTTGAAAGGGATGTGACAAAATTGGGACAGTAATGCACTGTTGGTGGAATTGTGAATTCAACCATTTGGGAAAGCAATTTGGAATGATGCCCAAAGGGTTCAAAAACTGTGCATACCCTTTGACCAACTAACCCCACTACCAGATCTGTATCCCAAAGAGATCAAAGAAAAATGAAAAGGACCTATATGTACAAAAATATTTACAGCAGCTCTCTGTGATGGCAAAGAATTGGAAACTGAGGGGAAGCCCATCAATTGGGGAATGGCTGAACAAGTTGTCATATATGATTGTGATGGAATACTGTTGTGCTATAAGAAATGACAGGCAGGACGGTTTCAGAAAAACCTGGGAAGACTTATATGAACTGGTGCAAAGTGAAGTGAGGATAACATTGTACATATTAATAGCAATACTGTATGATGATCAACTGTGAATGATTTAGCTATTCTCAGCAATACAATGATCAAAGACAATGCCCAAGGACTTAGATGAAAAGTGCTGTACTCTAGAGAAAGAATGGATGATGTCTGAATGGAGATCGAAGCATACTTTTTTTTTCTTGAGTTTTTTTGGTCTGTGTTTTCTTTTGTAACATGGCTAATATGGAAATATGTTTTGCATAACTTCATGTGTATTATTTATATCAAATTGCTTGCCTTTTCAAGGACAGGGAGAAGAAGGCAGGAGAGAAGGAACTTAGAACTCAAAATTTAAAAAAAATAAATGTTTAAAATTGTTTTTAAAAATGCAATTGAGAAAAATAAAATAATAATTTTAAAAGAAATAACAAGAGGGAAAAATTATTAGTAACTTTAGAAAGACATGTTTCCATCAAGTAATGAGGTGAGAAGCCAGATTGCAAAGAGTGAAAAGAAAGGAAGCAGAGGAACCAAGTTTAGATAGGGTTTTTTTGGAAGTTTGCAGAGAAAGAGAGCAGTTATCATAGAATGATAGCTTGAGGAGCTGGTAAGATATAAGGAAGTTTTTTTTTTAAGGATGGGGAAAACTCGGTCATGTTTGAAGGAAGTAAGGAAGGAACAAGTGGACAGGGAGAGGTTGAAAATTTGAGAGAGAGGGTGACTGAGACTGTAATCTGTTAGAGAAGATGAGGGGATGAGATCAGTGACAAATGTGGAATGTTTAGCCATGACATGGAGAAGGGCTTTCTCATTGTCAAAAACTAAGGAAAAAAAGAGTGTAGAATAAAGGGTGATATTAAGGAGCTTTGAAATGAAAAAAGGAGAGAATTGGCTTCAGTAAAGCAAGAGGCTAGGTTTCAGGGCGGCAGAATGGGAGGTTTGGGAAGAAAAGATTTTGTGGCGAATGAAATAAGAAATCAATTTAAGATAAATAAGAAGAGTCTCTTTCTGCAATTGAACTCATTAGCCCGGTGTCCTATAAACCCATACTACTAGAGAAAGGACTCCTGAGAAAACTGGAAAACAGTTTGTCAAAAAATAGGTTTAAACCAGTCTTATATCATATGCCACAGTAAGTTCCAACTGGATGCTAAGCCTACACATAAAAAGTTACAGCATAAAAAAATTAGAAGAAAATGTGTAAAAGTACCTTTCACAACTGACTAGGGAAAGAATTCTTAATCAAACAATGAGTAGAAGAAAACACAAAAAATAAAGGAAAATTTTGATGATATGAAATTGAAAGTCTTTTGCGTAATCAAAATCAGTTCAGCTAAGCCATAAAGGAAATCTAGAACTGAGGGAAAATGTCTTTCAGATATTTCTGATAAAAGCCTAATCATCATATATAGGACTATCAATTATTCCCTAATAGATAAGTGAGCAAAGGATAGGAACAAATAATTTTTGAAAGAAGAACTGTACATTATTAATATATAAAAGATTGTACCAAATCAAAAATGATAATGGAAATATAAAGTAAAGCAACATTGAAGTTTTACCTCATACCCAGAAAACTGCCAAAGATAAAAGACAGAAATAGTCAATGCTAGAGGAACTGCACAGTGACAGGCAAACTAATGCAGTGTTGATGGAAGTGTGGATTGTTACACTTCTGAATTCTGGAAAACTGATTGTAATGTTGCTAAAAACATGACTAAAATGTTCATGTCTTTTGACTGTGAGATCCCACTGTGAGGCATATACCCCAAGGAGGTCAGAAAGAACAGTTGTAAATATGTCAGTCAGTCTATAAACATTGTCCCAGATACAGTCAGTCATTCAACTTAGAAGCACTTATTAAGGGTCTACTATGTTGAAGGCAAAGACAAGAATGAGGCAACCCCTGCCTTTACGAAGCTTAACTTCTTATGGAGGAGAAAACATGCACATAAACAAGTATGTGCCAAATAAATGCATGATAATTTCTAAGGAGACAATTTTGGGAAGAGATATTAGGAGTTGAGAGAATAGTCAGGAAAGGCCCCATACACAAGGTGGCACTTGCGATGAGATTTGAAGGAAACTTAGGGATACTAAGAAGCAGAAGTGAGGAGAAGAGTCTGTTTTAAGCATGGCAGAACATTTTTTGCAAAGGTAAGGAGACAAGATATGGAGTATTGTGTGTGAGGAGCAGCTTATGCATGAAGACAGTAATGTGAAATAGGCCTAGATAGGCAGAATGTAAAGGATTTTTAAATGCCAAATAGAGGAATTTATTTTGTATCCTACAATGTCATTTTGGCAGCATTGCAGAAGATGGATTGAAGAGAGATGAGATTTAAGGCAGGGAAACCAAAATGTTAATAGCAGCATTTTTTATGGTAACAAAGTGGGTCCCCATCAATACAGGAAAGGCTAAATAAATGGTGGTACGTGAATATAGCAAAATATCATAACACCACAAAAATGACAAATATAAGGAATTCAGAGAAACATGAGAAGACTAGATTTGTTACAGAATGAATTAATGAGAACCAGGCAAAAGTGTCTATGATGACAGTAATGAAAATGGAAGAAACAATAAAACAAAATTTAATTCAGTGTAATTATAATGATCCATTATGGCCCTAGACAGAATGACTACTTGAAAGTAATGTACAGGAAGGATTCTTTTTCAGTTATGAGTTGGACTAGATGGCTTCAATGGGCCAACTCTGAGAGTAGGATTCTTAGACATCTGAAAGGTTTAGATGGATAGATGAGTGAGTACCTGGACTTAAGAGTACATCTTCTAAATGTCATCTCAAAAACTTTATAGAAATGCAACTAATGGAGTGCTCTAATGGAGGCTCTCATTAAGTTGAGTTGAAGAACAAACTACTTTAAAAAAAATAAAGTGGATCCTTTAACCTATAACTGGTTTTCCAGGTTCTCCTTCCCTTGGTCGACCAGTACTTCACCAATCACTGCCTCTACTTCCTTTCATCCCCACTGAAGCCACTCAGTAGCAGTGGGTATGCCTCTAATAAAGAGAAAGAAATGGTGGCCAGGTGAGTCATTTTGTAAGGGAAAGTTCAGAATGTGCATGTATGTGTGTTTTATTTTAAGACTCAGTTTCTTAAAAACTAAAGAGTAAATCCTTTAGAGAATTTAAGGAATAGACTGTTGATTTGATAGTTTGTTGCTAACTGCAATTTTGGTCTTTGTCTCTTGCTCCTTCTTTTTTGGAAAAAGGCATATGTTAATGTATTCTGTTGGCTGTTAAAAAGAAATGCAAGGAAGAAAGAGGGGTTAGTTTTATGTACTCATCACTCTTCCTCAAGTAATATTTAGCAAAGGCCTGAGATTACTTTGTAACTTGTAACGTTTTCAGACTTTGGAAAAAGGGAATCTAGTTTTGAGGAAGAATAGATTTTTATAGGCAACTATGTTATTATTAAGCCCAATCTTAGGGTGTCTTAAAAAGTGAAGAGGAATCATCCCTTATACTCCTTGGAGTAAGTCTTACTTGTTTTTCCCAATCAAAATATCTGATTCAAGAGCCAGGAAGACTTACTTGATTTAAGCCCCTGATAGGGAAGAAAAATTTTCCTCAAAGCTATATTTTAATGTTAGGTCTCAGTGTGCACACCTGATTGATGGCTAATAGAGAAATAAGATAACACAAGCCTAATAGGCATATTCAACCATATTCTACATTTTTCTACATTTGTGTGGTATAGGAGAAAGTAAATTGCCTGGGCTTTTCAGCAACAAAGCCCTTCTGAATGTCTACTGAACCTATAGTACTCATGCCACAAGGCTCCCCTACTATCATGCACCACTAATCATGTAGGGGAAAAAAGCTTTACAAAAATAAATATTTAAGTTCAGTAACTACAGAGGGTTATGTATGTGGGGGAAGGGGATATCCTAAAGTAAGAGAATCTTAAAATTTATGAATACTTTAAAAATTTGCTTAATATTTTAAGTAGTCTAAATTTATTTCATTAAATATTGAAAATATAAGGGACAAAGAAGAAACTGAAAAGTAAGATAGTTACATAAATCCAACAGAGAGCAGTTGTGTACATTTGTAGGCTTTTTCTGTTCCTAAAATATCTCATCTTTTAATTATGTTTTTGTTTCAATTCAAGGAAATAGATTTATTCAGAGAGCCACCATTTGACCCTTTACTGAAATTTCATTTAGAGTCTATTATTTCAGTACATCAAAAGATCTGTGATTTCATCCATGTAGGTTTTCCCTCACACATATCAAACTCTCCATGTCTTAGTGAACTGTCTTCACTCAATCAATAAGTATTTATTAAATGCCTATCCTGTGTCAAGTGCTGTCCTAGACACTGGAAATCATGTACAAAGCATGAAACGACCCCTCTTTGAACTGAGCTTGAATTGTAATTGAAGCAAGTACGTATCAAAATGTATATGTATATACAAATAAATATATACAAAGTCATTAAATACAAGGTAGTTTAGGGGAGAGGACAGTCACATTTGAAGGTATCAGGAAAGATTTCATGTAGAAGATAGTGCCTAAGGTGCATCTGTGAAGCAGAGGTTAAGGAGAGAGTACATTCCAGGAATGGGGTGTGGCCAGTACAAAGGCCCAGAAACCAGAGATGGAGTAGAATGTGTGAGGAGCAAAGGTAAAGCTAGTTTGACTGGAAGGCAGAATGCAGGTACACAAGTAATATCCAGTGAAACTCCAAAGAAGAGTTGGAGGCAGAGCATGTAGGGCTATAAACAGAGGAGTTTATATTTTTATCCTTGAGGCAATAGGAAGCCACTAGAGTTGGCTGATCTATGTTTGAGAAAAATTACTTTGGCAACAATGTGTAAAATGGACTGGAGTGGTGAAGGCCTTACAGCCAAGAGCCCAGTTAGGAGACTTTTGATGTAATTCATTAGTTGCTGTGGCCATAATTATTCATCACCTAATTGCCAACCTCTTGATAATAAGTTTTTCCAAACCTAGCTCAACTGGACATAAAAAAAAGACAAAGTATATGTCACCAGGCCTATGCTCAAAGCCTTCCTAGTTTCTCTTGCCACATTCCATCCTATCCCAACTTGTGCTCTGCTAGCATAGCCTTTGAGAACCCAGGTTCACCTCTATACCATAATGAGATATCAGAGTAGGACTTTACTGGAAATTTTTGTGTGTATACACACACACACACACACACACACACACATAGAGACAATAGACAACATATATAATATGTGTGTGTGTGTATATATATATATATACATATATGTTGTTTTGCCAAAGATTTTTCTAAAAAATAGTTGAGCTGTCAGTATACTAAAAATAATACCTGACAATATGGCACTTTAAGGTTTGAAAAACCCTTGACATACATTATCTTCTCTAAGCATCCCAACGATCTTAGGAGGTAATTACTACAGGTATTAACTTCATTTTATAAGTAAGGAAGCTAAAGTTGGAGGAGGTTGAGTGACTTGCCCATTGTCGCTCAGTTAGTATTAGAGATAGATTTGAATCCAGGTCCTCCTCACGACTCTAGCACTTTTCCCATTAAGCTACACTTGTTTCTCTCTTACTAATTACCCAAATGGAATATTGAAACACATATACTTTATAAGTCCATTTTGCAAGCCTTTATTACTCTCATCTTTGTGCTTCTTTATGCTCTTATTCTCTTTAGGCTAGTAGTTCCCAATTTTTCTCCTGGTTCCTATTCTTCAGGTTACTTTTGAAGTTAGAAAAGCAACCAGGCATCCTTTTAAGTTGTTATCTTCAAAACTCCAAGTATTATGAGATTAGATATGGGTAAGCAGAGTTAGAGGGACTCTGGAGCCTGGCAACTTGGGGCTTAGAGCAACAGTCCTGTTTAAATCATTCTCCATGTAAATAGGAGAAAACTTTAGAGTTCTAGGTCTGGGCCTTGCTTCTTCATTGAGAATTCTTACAGTACTTAGGACACCATGAAAGCAAAGAGCCAGGCAACTTAGCCATCTACTTATGGCCCCAAAACATTATTCTTATAAGAATTGTCTTTATAAAAATATTTTTTTAAAAAATTGTCTTTAAATATTATTATTGTATTATGAAACTTAGCTTTTACACAATTCAGACTCCTATAACCTGTGTGCTCAAAGGCAGCCAGGAGTAGTGAATAGAAACCTGACTGCTCAGTAATAGGAAAACCTGGATTCAGGTCCTGTTTCTGATACATAGTGACTGGACAAGTCATTTAACCTCTCAGTGTCTTATACAACTTTCCAAACTGTAAATTATCGAAGAGTTGCTGATGTGTATCAGTAGGCAGTTTCTTCTTTGTAGAGTTCCCTACACCAAGGAAATAACGGATCTAAACCAAAAAAACAAAACCTGTAAGTCACTTTATAGAGGAAGAAACCGGGATTTATTAAAGTAAAGTTGCTTAAAAGTTGCCATTAGTCTGTGGAAGAAACAGAACTCTAGAACCAGGTCTTTTGACCAACCAACCACCTCACCCCTAATACCATTGCCTTAATCATCAAGAATTCTCTTCAGACACAGATTCCCTCAAAAGCCAAATACAAAGGGGAAAGAGGCAGAGAATATTTATTTTCTAATTGACGTAATGTCTGATTTCTTTTGATCTGTTCTTATTACTTTTAAGTTTATAACTGTTACTTATTTTCCATTAAATACTCAGTGCTAGTAAATGGGGCTCAGGAATAAATTTTAAGTCTTCTAAACTAAAAAAAAATAAAATAAAATAATTCAGGTCCCCAGCAGTCCCCACTGTTCACACATCTTCATTCAGTAAACATTTATTATGCACCAATTTTAAGAGATACAATACTAAATAAGGCAAAGTCTTTGGATGCAAGGAGCTCACAGTCTACCAGGAGAGATAAGTCATATGCACAAATAACTGAAACAAAATAGAATGTATTAAGTACATAAGAGAAGTACAAGCAAAATGCTATTAAAGTTGAAAGATAGTCATTATAGTAGAAAGATAAATGAATTTGGACTCTGGAGATTTGGTTTCAAGTCCCTGGTTGGTTACTGCTTGTCTTTAGGCATGTATTTTAATGTATTGGAGCCTCAGTTTCCTCATCTGTAAAAGGGGATAATATTTGCTTTAAATAAATGATATTATTGTGAGGATCAAATGAAATAATAGTCATAAAGCACTTTTGTACATCATAAAATACCGTATACATGTGAGCTATTATCAGTGTTTTCATTATGACCTTTGTGAGGATAGGAAGTTAATTTCTAACTGGAAAATCAGGGAAGGCTTCATGTAGGGGATAACATCTGATGAGGGCCTTAAAGGGTGTGTACAGTTTCAGCAAGTAGAGATGGGATAAATGTACAGAGAAAATAAAAGCAATAAATAACTGTCCTTCCTTCATTGAAATCTTTCTTGGGAGAAATGGCAGCCATCCCAAGGAGAGAGGGGAGACACCATTAGCATGGCTATCCATTCAGCCAGTAATCACGAGCATCACAAGGCAGGAAAGTAATTTATTTCAAATCTTGTTATGTAGCACACAACTTTCCTGTATTTGAATAATAATTTTCATGTATCAACTACCTTTGTAATGACCTGTTTTGCAAAATGATACAAAATATACATATGTATATATATGTGTGTGTGTGTATGATCTCATTTGAGCCTTACAACAACCATTGTGAGGTAGATACTATTATTATCCCCATTATAAGTAAACTGAGGCTTAGAGAGGATAAATGACTTGCCTAAGATCATACTGCTGTTTCAGAGGTGGGAATCCAATCTAGATCTTCCTAACTCTAAGTCCAGCACTCTTTCTATAACACCATGAAGCCCCCTAATAAAGGAGTTTATCATCCAAAATGTGTTTTCTTTCACAAAATAGGTAGTGGAAATATTTTTAATCCCCATTTACAGGTGAGAAAACTGGTTCAGAAATGAGAAATGACTTGCTCTTACTCCTTTAATCATGACTGCCTTTGTATTTCCAATAAATTCTCCCACCTTCTCCCAACTGCACAATGCCCATGTGCAAATTATACAATGATTTGCCATCTATTACTCCTTAAACTCTTTTAACTTGTTCTAGGACCATAATATTATACCTTTACATTTGAATGTTATTTAAAAAAACACTCTAGCAAGATGTGATTTTTAAATGATGCATGATAACAGCAATCACCATATATGTGTTATTTTCTTTTTTAAAAAATTCATTTCTATTTTATGTCAGGTCTGCATGCTCTCTCTCCCACCCCCATCTCCTCCAATGAGAAGGCACGAAAAACAAAACTTGCTAAAAACACGTGTAGTTAAGCAAAACAAATCCCCACCTTGGTTAGATATATTATTTTCAACAAGGTTAGAATTATCCTTTAAATACTCTTTATAATCCCATTACAGGATAGGAAAAAAATTGTCTTTCTGTATATGATACAGAGTGTCCTTTGAGGGAGCTGCAGCATGCCTTCCCTTTACTCTGTTCTCTCCCGGTTGTTGAATGTTGAATTCTGAACAATTGTTTAATCTCTCTGCTTTTCCTACTCTTTTGCATTCTTTTCTGCTTTAGCCTATTCTGCAAACTTGCTGCCCTTGTTAGACATAGGATTTCCCTCTTTGGTAAGTTCAGTGAACTATTGATCAAGCTGCCCCTGCCCTTGTCCCTGTAATTATTCTAAATTTAATTTTTTTTTTCTCTATTTGGTGCTTTGTTAAATAAACCTAAGGCTTTGGACCGAGGTGTCACACATATTTACCATAAGTCTAAAGCATGATAAATTACCTTCTTGTCCCCTTTAACAACTCCTGTTTTCCACATCAATGAATGGTTTTTTTTTTAAAAGATTTGCTTCTAATACCAATCATAGAAAAGGAGGCTGAGTCAGCAATAGAATAAATGCATCGTTTTAAAGCAGAGGCATAGCACTGTATGTATTGTTGCTTAATTCCAACAGATTATGTTGTGTGAACTTTGATAACAGTAAAATGCATTTTAAAGAAAGGCAGAACAGTCTGTAAAGTCACAGGTGACCGTTTACATTTTCATTCTAGGAAGTGATTCCACTACAATGGTGAGCTGCCTACACATCCTAGCTCAAACACTTGACACGAGGTAAATTTGCCCAATTTTTCTTTTACAGCTTATTAAAGATTGCTTCTCTGCTCTCCTCACTTCATTTATTGCCTCTGGAGCAAAAGACATGCCACTGCCTACCTTGGGAAGTCTAAGAAAGGGAAATGACAGAGGATGTGTCAAATCATTGAGTGAAAAGATTTCAGAATCCTTTAACTAGTTGTTATGGCCTCATACCATTTCTGACATTTTTATGCCTTTTCACCCATATAACCAGCCAAGAGATTGTCTATTAAAAAACCTAGTTAGTCACATTTTTCTTCTAACAATCCAATAAACCAAAATCTTAAAGCCTCATCAAAATCTGAATCTGAAGGGTATCTAAAATTATTATCATTTCCCCAGTTTTCTCCAAAAAAACCTACTGGTATAGATTCTCCTCAAAACAGTTTCTTATTGATATTTTTTGCTGGTTAGGTAGAAGGCCTCTTACTATGACAATAATGATATTTCATGATGAACTTCAGGGAGGTCTTTTCATAAGCCCTTGCTTATAGAGGCATGCAAATAAATATAACTTTCCCTTAAGCTAGTAAATACATAGCCAAAGTCAGTTTCATGTTCATCCTGATCATTTGGAGGAGTCCCAACATTTATTCCTGTCAACTAGGCACTGCACCATAACTAGGTAAGCAGTTAATAAATATATTTATTGAATTGAATTGCTAAATTTGAACTTATTCTCATTCTTAAGAGTTAACTGTTTTCACCAAACCCAATATACTATATCCTGGGGACTACAAAGTCGTGTCTGTCCAAAACCCATTCCAACACATCTTTTGAAACACCAGTTATCAAAGTACAGTCGAATAAAAGTTCACGTAAAGAGTCTAATTTTGAACATTTTATATTTACAGAACAGTAATGAAATCAGGATCAGAGCTTGTAAAGGCTGGGTTACGTGCATTCTTTGAAAATGCTGCAGAAGATTTGGAGAAGACTTCAGAAAACCTAAAGCTTGGGAAGTTCACCCATTCCCGAACACAGATTAAAGGTGTCTCTCAAAATATCAATTATACCACAGTGGCTCTTTTACCTATATTGACCTCCATCTATGAGCATGTTGCTCAGCATCAGTTTGGAGTGGATTTACTCTGTAAGTTACTTTTTTTTTAAATTTACCATTGATTTGCAAGGACTTGGCAGAGTTGTAACTTTGCACATGGCCACAGGCAGCAAATGTTTCTTTCATTCATTCTAGGACACAGACTCTGAGGTCTGATTAAGAAGATGTTTGATTCTTCCGTGTTTTTATTCCTGTGCTTTTCTGTTCCTCTCTTTAAAAAATAAAATTATTTAAAGGGAAAACTATATACAGGGTTGAGAAAATATTTAACTTATATTCTATGGCTTACTGATCTTTATTCTGGTCCAAATTTTTAGCCATTCCTTATGTAGACTCTCCCATGTATGGAGTTATTTAATTTCAAAAGTTATTTTATGTGCATGGGAGATACAAGGACTCTAAAAATTAATATAAATTTGTTGCCAAGTGTTTAAAACTCTAGTTTTCTGTTTATATCCCTGCTGAACATTTTGAAAACCAGAAATACAAAAAGTTGCAAAAGTGTCTATATAACTTTAGCTTTTTTTTTTATTGAGACAGAGCTCTTTGGTGAAAGAAGGTAGTATTATTTTTTCATAAGCTGCCGTGTGTAGATACTATTTTGCAACCATTTTTTATAAGTTTTACTAACAAAATTATGTCTGTATTTTAGCTGACTACAGTTGCAGTCATACCTAAGGTTGCAGTTGACCCCTGAACCACTAAAATCATTTGTTTGGGGAAAAAATTCAAATTGGTCATATAGCCAAAACAAATGAACTTTTTTTTAATCAACTTTGTTGAAATTATGTAGACACAGTGTTAGAGGCAAGCAGTCACTTTGAAGACATAGTAGTGTATTGACATAATAAGTTTGTTTATATTTTTAAAAAATACAGTGTCTAAAAAAAATACATAATGAGAAAACAGATTTCCCCCTTTGGAAATTCTATGTGATCATCATAAAAGTATGTGAATCATAGATCTGATTCACCTTTAAGAAGCACAAATTTAGGTTTACAAGGATAGTAGAACATGAAGAAGAATTAATACTTAAGTACCAAGAAAATAGGGAAAGATGAGGGTAACTGTGGGAATTAGTAAGCTAATTTTTCAGGCTCCCTGGTTTTAGCAGCCTCTCTAGGTTAGAACCTCAGAAAGATGAAATTTCAATATGGCATCTCACTCTGGTATGGAATTTTTATAAATAAGGCTTCAAATTAGATGTAACTTTTCTCAGTATACCAATGCTTCCACACATAGGAACCCATATAGAGCCATGGCCCCATAAAGGGACCCTGGCCCTGAACTGAAACTAGCCAAAATCTCAGCTTAGACTTTTTCTATCTAATGCCTTCTCTTGTGTCTTTAGTAACTGATGCATAAAAAAATTGAAAAAATTTGTAAAATTAGCTATTAAGCAGCTTTTGCTCTTAGTTGAATCCTTCAATATAAAACAACTTTTATCTATTCATGGAACTCATTCGATGTACAGGTGGTGACACCAAGATTGATGCAAACGAGTGACAGCTGTTCTTTGTTTCAGTGAGTGATGTGCAGATTTCATGCTACCACATTTTGTGCAGCCTCTACTCTCTTGGGACAGGAAAGAACATATATGTGGAAAGGTAATTAATGAGAAGAAGCAGCAAATGAATCACATTGGGAAAATGTTATTTTTTAATCAGAAAAAATTTTCCTGTTAGGAAAATGGAAATAATCACTAAAATGGTACAGTGACTTTGAATCTAAATTCCCTAGAATGTTAGTCATATTATCCATAAATGAGCCTACTGTGATTTACAACTTTTGAGTGTGGACATCTCTAGAGGAACTCTGTAACATACCTTAATCACACATTTTCAACTAAAATGATTTGAAAATTTTCTAGCTCCTCATCAGTCATATCTTTCAGTTTCTGGGTTTCTTGTTGGATTCTTGTTGCCGAAGAAACACCAGGGATATAAGGCAGTTGCTTTTGCATTTAGTGAGTTTCAATGTGACGTAATCCTGGACCTTTCCCACTTTCATCTCTTTCTCTTCAATGTGTGTAATATCTATCTCCATACATCTATATTTATAGCTATAGCCATATCTATATCTATATCTATGTCTATGTCTCTGTCTCTCTGTCTCTCCCTCTGACTCTGTGTGTGTGTGTGTGTGTGTGTGTGTGTGTGTATGCTGTTCCCCCACCCTCCCATTAGAATGTGAGCTTCCTGAGAGGTGAGACTGTTTGGTTTTTGTGTTTCTGTGCCAGGTGCATTTATAACTGTTGCAGTAAATGTTTGTGGAATTTAATTGTTCTGTAGTTTGTAGCCATATAGCATCACTGAGAGAGTCTTAGTGTTTAAAAGATGATGTTAGTTATTTAGATATTTTGTTTCTTCACTTTTAAAATGACTAAAATGGAGATCTTATAAAAATCCCCTTGGTAGAGAGGAAGAATGAATTTTCTTTAAGTTTTGTTTCAGTCTGTTTCAGCACAAGGGAGAAGAGTGCAGAGAGAAATGCAGAGGGGTGGGAAGAGCTAACAAAGTGGAGTACAAGAGCAAATTATGAAAATAGAATATCAGTGCAAGAAATATAAATCTAAAATGAAAGAAAAGGCAGTCATGACAGACAAGAGAAGTGACAGAATTGGAGCAATAGGCAGGGACATTTTCACACAGCTAATTTTTAAAAACTGGAGGTTTGGAAGTAGAGAGATTAATGAAGAGAGGATGCCACTTGTCAAGGCAAGAGATGACTGAAGCAGAAATTAAAATTTCTTCCATCAGTCCACACTGATCAGTTACCCACAGTGGACAAAATGCTGTCCTAGGTACTATGTGAGTTATAAAGAAAGGAGAAAACAAACTCCCTGTTATGGAAATTTTTATAAATCTGTTGATAAACTGCTTTAACCTAGTAATTTAAATGGAGCTGTTTCTAGAGTGCATTTCCATTCCAGGACCTTGATCCCCAACCTGGCCAGCACCTGTGGTTAAATCTAATGAAAAAAGAGGAAAGATAACTGAAGGCTTTATAATATGGCTTAGATATTTATACCAACACTGCCTCCCACCCTTGCAAAAAATAAAAGGCATCATCTTTTACCTGTGGGTCCAAAATATTTAGGTAACAGGGTTCATTCAAATTGGCATCTTAAGGACAGGAGCACTAATTGGCAGGCATCTGGGTTTTATTTTTATAAAACTTCTAATAAATAGGTCGAAGGTACCATTATTTATCTCTCTTTCCCTGGCAGCTAATTAGCATCACCTTTTGTGTCCTCTAGAAAATTCCCTTCTTGAGGATGGTAAGCCTCAGGATGTTGTCAGTAATGAATGTCAGAGATTCCAAGGCCCATTACCTGCGAGATCAGTGCATTAGTTGAACACTTTGGCTTAAAAACTCACTCTTTTTTCCTTCCATTTTTTCTGCCTTTGTTTCTTTTTTGCTTTCACTTCCCCACAAATGCTGTTGTTGATATAAGATTCTGTTTCTAAAACCACAGGTTTGGGGGCAGCTAGGTGGCACAGTGGATAGAGCACTGGCCCTGGAGTCAGGAGGACCTGAGTTCAAATCCTGCCTCAGACACATGATACTTACTAGCTGTGTGACCCTAGGCAAGTCACTTAACCCCGATTGCCTCACCAAAAAACAAAAAACAAAAAAAAAAAAAGCACATATTGATATTATGGAGCAGCTCGATGGCACAGTGGATAGAGCACCAGCCCTAAAGTCAGGATGACCTGAGTTCAAATCCAGCCTCAGACCAAACACTTGACACTTACTAGCTGTGTGACCCTGGACAAGTCACTTAACCCCAATTGCCTAAAAAATAAAAAAAATAAAACCACAAGTTTTATTTTAATCATGATCTTAATGGCAAAATGTATTTTTGCATTGTAATAATTTCATGTAGATGTTTAACTAATATAAGGCAGTTGCTCTGACAAGAAAAACAAAAGAGCCTAAAAAACACTTTAGAATCTGTAAATATTTCAGTTATTTGCCATGTGGAAAGATATGATATCCAAAGACATCATAGGTTTAGAATGTAAACTCATTTGAAAAATTTTATAGAGAAGGAAAATGGAAGATTATGAGCAGTATTATGTCATCAAATGAAGAAGTAGCAAAGGATAAAAACCAGTTTGAAGAAAGTTGGACAAGAGTCATAACTACACAAAGTCATCTTTAGGGTATTTAAGGATGAAAATAAAAGAAAACAGCAGAAAAGGTGAGAAAACTCTACAGAGATTTTTATAATAAATTCTTTTGACAATCAAGAATGTAGAGTCATCATAGTTGAACTCTAATATCACAATCCCAGAAATACTTATAGTATGAAGTAGAAATGGCATTAAAGAGAACAAAGTGAGAAAAGCAGCTGAATTTGCTATATATTGAGATCAGTGCTGGAGGTGAGGCCTTTGAGGGATTGATTCACAAAATATCTGAAGAGGAAGGAAAGATACCACAAGCAAGGTAAAATCTCAGACCTTAATAATACTTTTCCCCAACCCACCCCCCAGAAAATATGACCAAGAAAACCTCAACAGGTTCCAATACACACACACACACACACACACACACACACACACACACATATACACTTTCTGATGTAAATAAACATTTTGTGAAAATAACCCACACATACATTGAGGGTATCCTTTATTGGGAGTACTGACAGGGAAGAATCAAGCTTTTAAAAATGACATTCCACAGTAGACCATATTTTTACCATCTTGAAGTTGATTGAAAAATGTACAGTATATAGTATCCCATTGTGCTCCTTATTAATTCATTGATTGATTGTAAAAAAGCATTTGACTCAGAGCCATCTTAAAAGCTCTCTTCCAGTGAAGTGTCTCCCCATGCATATATAAGAATTGAGTAAGATTCCTTAAAAGATTATGGTAATAAACCTATTTTACAATTTTTGATCATTAATATCAGGTGAGGCTTAAAACATGGAGGAAAGGTCCCGCAGATTAAATATTTTTCCCAATTCCATCCAATGTATTATTGTGGTATAATGATTGCCTTTTTTAATAAATCTTCCAGCTCAAAAGTTATTATTCCTCTCCCTGAAGTTCCTTGTAATGTTTTTTCTTTTTTGCTGTTTTTAAAGATGAGTCTCTGTTTATCTGTCTTTGTCTCTCTCTTTCTCTGTCTCTCTCTGTCTCTCTCCTTTCCTCCATCCCTCCCTCTCTCCCTGTCTTTATCAGAGACACTTGCTATAAAAAATTTTCCCAGCTTTCTGCTTTCATTTTAATCTTGGCTGCATTGGTTTTGTTTGTGCAAACCATTTTAAATTGAATATTAATCCAAATTATCCATTTTACATCTCATAATGCTCTCTATCTATTGTTTGGTCGTAAGTTTTTCACTTAGCCATAGGTCTGACAGGTAAACTATTCCATATTCCCCTAATTTGCCCATGGTATCACCCTTAATGACTGAATCAGGGGTGGGGAACCTGCAGCCTTGAGACCATGTGCCCCTCTAGGTCTTCAAGTGCAAAGGGCCATACTTGAGGACCTAGAGGGCCACATGTGGCCTCAAGGCCACAGGTTCCCCACCCCTGATCATGTACCCATTTTGACTTCTTGATATACAGTGTGAGATATTGGTCTATACCTAATTTCTGCCAAACTATTTTCTAGTCTTCCCATCAGTTTTTGTCAGATAGTAAGTTTGAATCCTAAAGCTTGTTTTTGGATTTATCACTAGATTACTATGATCATTTACTACTGTGTATTGTGTGCCTAATCTCATTCACCACTCTATTTCTTAGCCAGTACCAGATTGTTTTGATGATTGTACCTTTATAATACAGTTTCAGATCTGGTACAATTAGACCATCTTCTTTCACATTTTTTTCACTAATTCCTTTTATATTCTTGACCCTTTGGTCTTCCAGATGAATTTTGTTATTTTTTTTTTTAGTTTTTTCTATTATTTTATAAATATTGGGTAATGCTTGGTGTCATGTTGAATAAGTAAGTTAATTTAGGTACAATTGTCATATTAATTTTATTAATCAGCCTACCCGTGAGCAATTAATATTTTTCCAGTTGTTTAGATATGACTTTATTTGTGTGCAAGTGTTTTGTAATTGTGTTCATATAGTTCCTAGGTTTGTCTCGGCAGGTAGACTCCTAAGTATTTTATATTATCTACCATTATTTTAAGTGGAATTTCACTTTCTATCTCTTTCTGCTGGACTTTGTTGGTAATATATAGAAATACTGATGATTTATGTGGTTTATTTTATGTCTTGCAACTTTGATAAAGTTGTTATTTCAACTTATTTTTTAGTGGATTCTCTATTATACCATCTGAATAGAGTGATACTTTTGTTTCCTTCTTGTCTATTCTAATTCCTTCAATTTCTTTTTCTTCTTTTATTTCTATAGCTACCATTTGTAGTACAATATTGAATAAAAGAGGTGGTAATGAGTATCCATGCTTCATTGTTGATCTTATTGGGAAGGCTTCTGGCTTATCCCCATTACAGATAATGCTTGCTGGTGGTTTTACATAAATAATACTTATCATTTTTAGAAAAGCTCTATTTATTCCTATGCTCTGTAATTTTTTTAATAGGAATGGGTGTTATAGTTTATCAAAAGCT